TCGTAAATTACTCGAAACTTTCCTTAACTACTGTTCGCTTTATCATCAACGTATGCACTGGCTTTCTCTGCCAGGCTTATATACTAACAAAGAGTCGTCTCCAAAATTCGCGGAGTTCCCCGATAATTCGAGAAATTCAGTCATGCATGCGCCAGCAGCGTCACGTGACTTCCGCTGTCGTAACACTATCAAAAGTAACTTTAGTTATGCAAAGAATAAAACTTCTCAATGTATACATAAAATGAATAATAGACGATCACGTATATGTAGGTAATGGGTCGCAAGGTCGTTCTCTGATTACTTTCATATACTACAACAGGTGTCATCTTTTGTAGAACAACAAAACCGTAATAAGTTTTGGAATTACCAATTTAAAAACCTCAAGCTATCAAAGCACTTAAACCAATAGGCCTAAAACTTGTGATAAAATAGCCTAAACTACTAATTATTTTGTGTCACTTTTTTTCAATTTGTCTATTTCGATTCAAATACAGTTTTTTTAATCAGAAATGAACAAATGAAGAGGAACGTGCGAGTTATTTGATATTTATGACCATTGGTTTCAATATGCTATGTTGCTAAAATTAAATAAATGTGAGCTACACAACAATACAATACATCTATGCGTAGGCATCATATGTCACAACCTTATTTGTTTCAAAATATATTAAGACTAGAACTGATAACAATGGTTTGTTTGTTTTGAATTTCGCGCAAAGCTACACGAGGGCTATATGCGCTAGCCATCCCTAATTTAGCAGTGTAAGACTAGAGGGAAGGCAGCTAGTCATCACCACTGTAACGAATTTGTTGTTATGTATTTATTTTAATGTCAAGGTTTGTTTGGATTGAGTTTATATTTAAAAATATGTCTAGCTTATAGTGTTAGATATGTATTGCAAGACTCCCGCCTGTTCTCCAGAGTTGTAGAAGATTCTCGAGAGTAAAAATCAACAATATTATCTTCATATACTACAACAGGTGTCATCTTTTGTAGAACAACAAAACCGTTTAAAAATAGCTCAGTATTGTTACGTAATCTGAATTTTATAGAAAACCTTCCCACGCTTATAAATACAACCAACGCGACGCACCAAAAGAGAGTGTTTATTAGTAGTTCACTATAATCAGTGTGCTATAAACTTCGAAAGCTATAACTGTGATTTTTATAACGCTTATCAATCGGAAAACTTAAAATATTTGAACAGAAATATTTATAAATTTCGAACGTTACAAATCGTTTAACTTCAGTGGATTCTCATCGGACATTATTATTTTTACGAAAGCATTATATAACTTCATCGTGGAGAGCTCAGTGTGTGTGGAAAAGGACAAAGCTAGCTAGCTTCCCAGCGTATCTACATCAACTCGTAATTAACTCGCTCATCGCAAACTGTCAATAAGATATCAAGGGAGTTCCAAACTAGAAGAAGATTTTATATTGTTTGTAAGTTTGTGAAACTTTTTTTTTATAAATCTTTGTTTGTAATAACTATTTATAATAATTGTTACTGTAAATTGTATTGCTGTGTGTATATTAAAACGTATTTGTGTTAAAAAAGAAGACGATGTGTATCAATCTTGTTTTTGAATATCGTAAATTGACTACGATATATAGGCATGTATTTAAATACTAAATTCAAAGTACATTTAACTACTAAATTTAAATTATCAGTTAACTCGGCTTCGGACTATTCGAAATTCTAATACGTAACAACCACCCACCGCCATCTCTTGGGCTACTCTTTTACCAACGAATAGTGGGATTGACCGTCATATTATAACGCCCCCACGGCTGAAAGGGCGAGCCTGTTTGGTGGGACGAGGATTCGAACCCGCGATCTGCAGATTGCGAGTCGAGCGCCCTAACCACGTGGCCATACCGGGCCCAATAGCAATGGATAAACCTGTTCTAACCATTTATAAGTACTTTATTTTGAGCGTCCGAGATATTAGACAGAAAGGGAATCAGAAAATCAAAAATATATCAAGAAATAAATTCACATCCTGAGAAAGAAACAAAAACAAAATGTACTGGCAAAACACTCAACACTATTTAATAAAATCGTTAAAGATGAGAAAATGAGTGGTGTTGATATATATCTTTATTAGTAAAATCTCACCTTGATCTTACTCTTTCGCACTATATTACACAACAATACGTCTGTAAGAATATGATCACATTCTTCATTATAGCAACCTTATCGAAACTAGACACGACATTGACAGAGGTCTTCGGAAGTTCTGTATATAAAATTTTAAACAGAAAATTGACTTCTAAAAGGAGATATTTTAAAGTTAAAGAATTCAGAACTAATAATCATAATTACCACTTTTTATGAAGTGTATAGTATTAGGTTTATTTTATCCTTTTTTTATGATAGTCTTAGCTTCTATTCAGAAATGCTTAATATGCCTTATTTTCCCATAATTTTAGCACGTCATTCCTAATTGCAAACCACTGTTTTCCAATGACAATAGTTTGTTGCCATTAATTTGTTTTTTGTTTTTTTGTTGTTGTTGTTTTTCGTTGCT